TGCTACTTCCTTTGATTTAACAAAGAAAATTATATTGTAAGACCTAGAAATTCAATCTAATGCCAAAACCTCATTGCACAGGTCATCACCCCAATATCATCCTCTGGAAAAAAAATCTATTTCATTAGCTTTAAATTCAGAGGCATACACTTTATTTTCTGTCCTTTGTGGTTTATCATGCAGGGCCTTATGGGGGTCCTTAAAAATAGGTTGATCGTCAACCTCCTTTACACTTCCCTGGTTTTTTCATAGAAGGACTTCAGAGTGCTTTGCAGGCATTAAATAAATGGATTCTGAAGCTGAAAGGAGAACACACAAATGGAAACCTTTCCATCTCTACACTTGTATGGAGCACTATTTTAGAGAGTCATTAGGGGTATGCGAAATTCTAATGCATTAGCCACATTTAGGGTCAGGCTAAATTGTTTCTCATGCAGTAGGTGACTTGTAGAATTTGATAAATTCTTCCGAAAAAAGGAATGTTTACTCAGATTTGCTTGTGCCCCTTGTATTCATTTTCTGTGAAAGTTTGTACAACTGAGTTTTATTGGCTCAAAACAGTGAATGGAAAGCAAATTTCAAAGCTATATTTTAAATTAATCATTCATGTCAATGCTTGCACATCCATCATCCAGTCAGGAACAGAAACAATACTATGTGACTTATCTGGCGAATACCAATGAGCCAATACTTCTCAACTACTTGCAGAAATGTTCATGTTCATCCAGGCGAGCAATGAATAAATAAATAAATAAATTTCACAAACAGCACAATCCACTCATGGACATTCCCTGAGCAGATTTAGAGTCTCAGTCTGCTGGATACAAGATCATAAATTTTTCCCACTCAGCTCTAGTGATATCAGTTCCTAGGACTGAAGGAGTGAATTCAGTGAATAATTTTAGTAGTCCTGAAGATAAGTAAATGAAAAATTGAAATAAACTGTCTCCTTAGGAAATGCCAGCAGAGGCATTTAAAAGTTATGTTCAAGTAGCATTTCCCAGAATCTGTCAATTTCTATTTTTTTTTCTGGCTGCAGGTATCAGAATTCTCTAATTAAAGAGGTTAGGATTAGTGCTGTGTGATAACCACTTCTGTTTTGGTTTGCATAGAATTTGGGAGCATTGCTGATCCACTGGAGTTTACAGACCTTCATGTTTGCTTGGAACATTAGGTTTGTGCAAAGCTCAAAACTCTAAACCAAACTCTATGGTACATACATACTCATAGTGCACGGAACGGTAGAAACTCATCACAATGAACAGTGCACGTAAGACATGACATCATTGGCCAGCAGTCTTTCTCAGTATTTTGCAGTTGTCACATGGCTTTGAGAAGCATATCATACAGCATCCTGTCCAGTGAGCTACATCATTAAAACACACTTGCCTTGGGTACCCCACAAGCCCCTGCAACTCTCACTTTGACAGTCTTCCTCAGTTCATCTGACCCACACATCCCACAAATTGAAGTCTTTTTTTGACTGGACATCTTGATATATCAGGTATCAGTCACACCAGCCATTTGTGGCACTTTATAGGAGCTGGAAACTTGTCCCCAAACCTGCCTCCTCTGGGCATAACAGCCTTTTTAAGAGGCAGTCTGTGATAGTATGGTGAAACTCACTGATTTTGTAATAAAACTGGGGATTTTTTTATTCCCTTTCGATAGTGGGACCTACTCCCCATTTACTCACCACTCAGTTTCCCCCATGTTATTGAGGGGTTGCCCTGATGTTGCGCTTCTTCTATCTAGTATCTTTGAGAACGGTATCTGAGACCTGCTTCTCCTCAGAGAAGTCATTTTAGGTGGGATTGCAGCACGCGTTTCCTCCTCTCCTTTCTTTGGCACCAGCAATGAGCTGCTGCTCCCATTGCTATTTCATGTACTGCATAACAACAATAAATCTCCCTGCAGAATTTGCATGGTAAAGTGAGCCTCTTTGCTATTCCACTCACAGATAGCAGATGGAAAGCGGGCCAGGTAGCCTTGAAGGCATCAGGAAAGAAGGGGTATTGCAGGCCAACAAGATCTCCCCAAAACACTGAAAGATAAGTGGGGTTTGAGGGCTGGGCCCTATTGATAGGAAGGAGTTGTGTATAGGGAAGGAAACGGGTAGCTTCTTCTCCCAGGTTTCCAAAGCCATCAGGGGCAGAGTTGTGTGAATACAGAGAGAATCCAATTTCAGACTGAAAACCCCAAACCAGGCTTCTGTCCTCTTAAATTTGGGGTTTGATGCAAAAAACCAACAACCCTATACACAGTTCTTGTAGGCATTCAACAACTAGACGGGAATTTAAAAACAAATCCATGTAAAACACTGGGAAACACTAATGCTTCAGCCTTTTCCAGCACATCTTTTATTTCACACCATAAAAAGCATGACACATCTTAAATATCCCCGCATGGATTGTATGATACTTTAGAATGTTTAATACATTATCAGTTTACAAAACACTTACAACATTTTCCAGAGTGGCAATTTTATCACCTGTATAGTGAAAGCTAATGTAAAATAAAAATCTTGGACTGTAACTTTGCTAGGAAAGCAGATACAGAGATCCTAAAAATAAAAGCTGATTCAAAAAAAGGGAATTCTGCAGATCAACAGGTGGAGTTAAACACGTGATTAAAAAAAATAATCTAGAATTAAAAGCAAAAAACTGGGCTTTATTTATAAATGCTTGGATATTTTTCCACAAGAAAAACTGTTGTGTGGTGGGTACCAGCCTTAACACCAAACCAGAGCTAGATACACACCTATTGTCTCTATAGCCAACTCTTTAATTTAGGGATAAGAAAAGTGGGTAGTAGGTAAAAAACAAAAACAAAAAAACCCACCACCCAAAACTTGAACCGAAGCTAGCCTACAGCTTTGTAGGAGATTCAAACATTTGTTTTTGACCCTACCTCATTGGTTGTTAGACCAACACCTGTCAGGGAGGGTGCATGTGTACTTAATCCTCCCCTGGTGCAAGAGAATGGACTAGATAACCTCTTGGTCCCTTCCACCTCTATATTTCTATGATAAGTTCCAATGGCTGGAAGTTGTAGCTAGACAGATTCAGACTGGAAATAAGGTGCAATTTTTAACAGTGAGGGTAATTACCATTGGAACAATTTACCAAAGGTCAGGACGGATTCTCCATTGCTGGGAATTTTTAAATTAAGATTGGGCATTTTTCAAAAACATACGCTCTGGTTCAAACAAGAATTAATTCAGAGAAATCCTATGGCCTGTGTTATACAGGAGGCTAGACTAGATGCGCAGTGATCCCCCCCAGCTTTATGAACTAGGCTTCAAATGGCCCTGGTGGGCGGCATAGTAGGAAATGTGAATTTCTTAGGAGCCATGGATTTATTTATTTACTTATTTTTAATAGTACTATATAAAAAGACTTCTCTCCTGTTATTTCTTATGTGGCTGGAACCAAAGAGTGTTGGAGATTTTATGAGCTATCCAGTCAGTGCAGTATGGATAAACCTCAGATTGACGTCTGAAGGTTTGGATCTTTATCTAAGCCTCTCACCACTTAAGCCTGGTCTACACTAGAAAATTAGGTCACCATAACTATGTGGATTTGGGGTGCGAAAAATCCACACCCCATGAGTGATGTATGGAAGAATTCTTCCATCGACCTAGCTACCACCTGTCGGGGAGGTGGATTACTTATGCCTACGCTCACAGGAGAATCCCTCCCATCAGCGTAGGTATTGTCTACCCTGAAGCACTAAAGCGGTGTAACTATAGCATTTTAAATATAGACAAGCCTTTAGAAGGGGTCCCATTACTACCCTAGACTATCTAAAAGAATCGCTCAGTTTTGACATTTTGGATCATTGTTTCCTAAATTCTGGATGATCCTAAATCTCTTAAAAGATTACAGTACTGCTATCTAGGTTTGAGGGGCTCTTCTCTACTTAAATTGTTTCAAATAGAGCTGGGTCAGGCAAAAAATTTAACAGCTGACAATTTAACAATTAACCGACTGTTTCTGTGTACAACACGGCAATTTTCTGATGTTTAGTAATTATTTGAAATGAGTCACCATACACTTTGAGAGTTCTTAGCCTGTAGATTATTTGCAAGCATCTTATTCTGAAGTTTAGATGTCTAATTGAAAATTGACCTGTGTGAGTAGTTTTGATTGGAAACATAAGATGTGATACATTTCTGTTCCCTGATTGGGAATGCAGTTTTTTGTGTGAGCGCTCAGGTTCAGGAATTCCAAATTCACTTTCCATGAATATCCTCCATTGTTTCTTGGGGGGGGGGGAGGGGGGTTATTTTTTTCACAAATATTCCAGGCAGTAAATTCAACTGCTAGAAATATTAATGGAAAGTGCATTAAAAAAGAGATGCAAACAGTCAAAATAAATTTATTAAATAAAATAGAACAAATATTCACAAGTAATATTCACCCAGCTTTAGTCTTAAGGGAAACGCATGTTGGTACAAGAAGTTAAATGCACAGAGTTGGCATTTCTGCATTATGGTTTGAATAAAGAGCCCTATATTCATGTAGATGTTCCTTCAAGATACGAGAGAACCAAATATTTGCACATTTGTATTACACATACTCACGCAATACAAATAAAATGTAACCACTAGATGAAATGCCATTTTAGTTCTTTTCAGTAGCACTAAAGCCATCATAAGGTAGTTTCCATTTGGTTCAGCATTAGCTTTAGTAACAAAGCCAAGATAGGAAAAGGGTTACATTTCTTAACTATTGGAAAACGTACAGCTTATTGCTCAAGTACAGTTATCAGCATAGCACAGAATGCAAGAATGAATAATTCATTAGTTTAGTAGCCTCTCTCTTTTCTATGGAACCTGAAAGTGAACAACTGTTTTGTCTTTTTCTACCCTTTCTTCAGCCCAGTGGGAACAATTTGGCCTTTGAACCTATGACTCGTAGCCTCCCCCCCCCTTCGCTATTCAGCATGGACCAGCATAAAAAGAATGATGTCCCCTGTATTCACCTTCACCCACTCACCACAGCACAGCTTAGGCACATAGCAAAGCTTCTCTCACAGGACCACACAAAGAGCCGACTACCAGGCTGCAGCTGTGACAAACCAGCAATTCTTCCACTGCCACCAAAGTCACATATTCCACAGTCCAAGAACAGATGCATTTAAGCTGAGCTATAGGGAAAAAAAATGGCTCGTTATTTTAATCTGATCTGGGCTCAGAGGTATTAAGGGTTTCAAATGTTCGTGTGATCTGAAATGCAAGGGTTTAGCAGGCAGTTTTCCTTTTACCTTTGCAGTCAATAGCATGTGCTGAATTAATATTACAACACTCCCAATCATGCAGTTATACCAATCAGACTATTTCTATTCCTAAAAAGATGTCTGAGCGTGTATGTATGTATGTATGTATGTATGTATGTATGTGTGTGGGGGGGCAGGGGGGGTTGAGAGGGAGGGTTGGGTGCCACAGGAAATCTCTTATTTATACTATTCTGATTTATAGCTGGAACTCATCTCTTTATCTTACTTAATCAGCAGTCGATCAGTATTTTATCCAATTCTCATGAAAGCCCCTAGGGAGAAGTAAGTTCTACTACTAAATCTGGATTTTATTGAGACTGATATGCCTAGCAGTCTGTGAAATACACTGACACACATGATTGTCTTGAGACTATTTGCCTCTCCTCTGTGTTGAAAAAATACTGAGCCCAGGCCCTGCAATAACATTATCATAATACATCACAAAAATAAGCTGCAAACAGACAAATCCTGAAAGGTCCAGAGTATCTCCGGACCGCTGAAGCATACCCTCAACTCCCTCACTGGACTTCACCAGAAGCTGAGCGCGCTTAATATATCACAGGAGCAAGTCCTTGACAAAGCTTGACAAAGCCCTGGCTGGGATGATTTAACTGGGAATTGGTCCTGCTTCGAGCAGGGGGTTGGACAAGATGACCTTCTGGGGTCCCTTCCAACCCTTATATTCTATGATTCTATGATTCTAAGTCCAAATGAGGATGAGCCACTTTGTATTATAACTGGCTTGCTGAACGCCTGTGGCAAGAAAACTTGGTATCAAAGTGATGGCTAAAAGCTGCCAGTTCTCTCAAATAATCATATAGTCTCATTGAGTCTCTCTCTCGAAAAAAAAAAAAAGAAAGTCTTCATAGGGAAATGAAGGCAGTGATGGCAACTTGGGAAGGCAACTGAGATGGTAAAGATGATCAAATGAGAATAGATACCTAGTTACTAAGCACTAAGCATTGAAGGATCTGAGCAAATACAGGAACCATTTGAGAACTTGTAGTTGTAGTCAGTTTATAGCCCCAAATCTCTGTGTGTGTTTACAGCTCCATTAAGGAGAAACACTAGTTTCTCCACTTTTTAACCTAAAACTAGTTTGCCTGATTTAGGTCACTGCTCTCCCTCCCCACACAGCTGGCTTTACCTTTCACAAACACCAGCCTTATAATATGAAATTGTTGCAGGATAGAAACTTGAGGCAAGTCATATTTTAGATACAAGAGTTCAAAGCATTAGGTGATTTTCTTCTTGACAACGTTCCTTTCTATATTAGACGTAAAAAATTCCTCCTATGGTTTGATCTGTTGTTCTTGGTGCTATGTACTGTGTGTAGAATAGTACGAATGTTTTACTGTGTTCCTCTCTTCTGCTTTAAATTCCTGTCTTGGGGCCTATAGGAAAGGGAAATGGGAGGGAGGGGAAAATAAACATGGAACTAATGAGGCTGGAGCCATATCACCTTCCTGACCACTATGCTTGCTTCATTCCTTCCCTTTATCCATTTTCATTGTTTTAGATCACAAGGCCTGTGAGACAGAGATTTTCGTACTCTGTGCTAAGCATTGTGCAAACACAATGGATCTCTGAACCTCTTGGGGTCTTTGTACCAAGCCATAATGCTGTTTCCTCTCTGCCAAGTGATAGCAAAGGTTCAGGACTATTAAACCAGCTTCCCATTGGAACAGACCTTAATGACATGGGTTCTGGGTATATTCTTAGTGAAAGATATTTTACACTAGAGGTCATCAAATAGCAAGCAGGCCCTCATCTTTCAGAAATCTCAGCCTAGCTGAGATTTAACACCTGGAAAACCATGTGTACCAGTACCATCTAGTGACTCCTGCTATCATACAAATAAATAGGTTAGGACTGGCACAGTGCTTTGGGTAGCTTTGAACAGTATTTTGTAAAGTAGTTATTGGGAACACCATATTGTTCTTGACTCCAGATGCCAAATTCTATGTTGCTTACCAACCTCCTGTACATTAGATGTGGGCTTCCTAAACTATGCGTTAGTACCATGGAGAACTTAGGGTGCTGACAGCTGCAGCTTGCAAGCTTCCTAAAACTAGTATCTGTGCAGCTTGTTATATTTTGGGATGCTCACAACTAGAGGTGTTCAACCCAGAGGATGAGAATTCAATTTCATGGCACCTTTCAAAGTTTTGAGATTTGTTTTTGTTCTGCATTGGAACAAGACCAAAGCCTTTTTAACGTTTTTGTGAGAACAGGATTGTGTTAAAATTTACAGTTCCAGATCAAAACCTGAGCTTTTTGAGTTGGAAGGAAGACAGAGAGAGGGCCTGGGATGTGAGAGAACCAGGTTCAAGTCCTTCCTGTGCCCAATTTAGAGCAGAGTTTTTCACCCCAGACCCAGAATTCTGAATTGATCAGAGCAGTGATTTGAATCTGCATCTCCCAGGCTATACAGCAAGAGTGTGTCATATCTTCTGAGAGATACCCTAGATTAAAACAAAAACCTCAATGATGTTTTTGTCAAAAATGATACATTTCTGTGAAATATTTCAACTTCGATAAGACAGCATTTTACAAAACAAAAGGTTATCCAAAATTTTCCAGCCAGACCTACTCGAAACCAAAGAAGCTTGGTTTGTGGATGCCTTTAGAAAGTATTTTAGGGGGAGGACACTACAAAGCAAGTGGAGCAAGCATTCTAGCAGAGGCAGGCAGACATGGGCTAACACGGCGTAAGCTAGCACTCGAAAAGTAACTGTATAAACAGTGCTTCAAAAAGTTGTGACTTAGGTTGGAGCTTGGGATCCGAAGTCCATCTCCCTCCCTAGGCTTCAGAGGATTAGGAGGTTTCTTACACCTTCTCCGAAAGCATCTGCAACTAGACATTATTGAAGATGGGCTAGTGGACTAAATGGATCACAGGTCTGTTCCAGTATGGCAATCCCGATGTTCCTAAACTGTGTACAAAACTTTAGCGGGAGAACACACATTTCTGAGGGAACAGTTCTTCGACCTGCCTTTAAATGTGTAGCTTTTACTAACTTTTTGGCATGTACCACTGATATACATAAAAAGAGACAGCAGCAACTCATCTGATATTTAATGTAAGAATTTTTACTACGTATTTCTAGGTTTGTGAAAATTAGCTTAAGAAAGTAGCAATGAGGTTCAGTTGGGGGTTAACCTAGCTCTTCATACCAGGCCTAATCCAAAACCCGTAGATGCCAGTAGAAGTTTGGTATTTCAGTGGGCTTTGGCAGACTCTATACCGATCACCATGATATCTGAAAACTTGCTCACACATTTGTATTAGAAGCATATACACGCACGTATGCAGATTCAGTGTTTAAAAAAAAAAAAAGTTATTGATGTATTTCTTCTACACAAGTTTAATCAGTACTGACTCCTTGTCAAAAACCTACTATCTACATTTGAAAGCCTTTCTGCCCTAATCATCAGTCACTTGTCCAATAAGTCCAGTTATCAGTGGCTAATAGGAAACCTATTCCAAAACACTCATTTTTAAATTTGTTAGCCTAGTGAAAAGAACAAGGTGTGTGTCAGTTCACTTTATGTAAACCTGAGTAGGCTGAAAATGGCCTCCAGTGATGATGGGGGGAGGAGGAGTGGAAATCGGGGTGGGGTGGGGTGGAGAGCCATGACTGTCTGTTTTACCTTAATTTCCATTCAGTGTATTGACAGCTATCACAACAGTTCACATCACAAATGCACAGAGGCGAGAGATAAAAGCTGCAGTCAGAGACACAAATCCTTTATTACTGCTGTTAATTTCCCCCTCATCTAACTTCTTAGAAACTCAATCTAATCATCCTCCCCTTGACAAGACACCACTCAGATTTTTAAAAAGGGGCAAAAACTCACTTTTGGAAACCTTGAAATAGAACCATTCCTAAACAACATGTTGAAAAGGAAATGGAGAAATAAATCTGGCTATTACATAGAGCAGCGAAGTCACACAACTGAGATATCCCACAAGGCTTAGAGATTAATCATATTATCTAACACATGGCCAAATGCCCATAACTCCATCTAAAAATTATTAGCTCAGCATAAAGTAGTGAAGATTTTCCATAGTAGGCACAAGCAGGGGGGGAAAGAGTTCCTTACATGGGCCAGCCCTGTGTTGGGGATTGGAAACTTTGAGATTTCACATAGTTTCCCTCTAGCCAGTGCATGCTCCTTTGGAATAATCAGGAGTTCAGCCCACATTGTCTGAAGGTCTTGGGATAATTGCATGAAGGCCAAGATTATCTGTATGGAGGCCCCATATATCTGCACCGGTATACAAGTATCCATGGTCTCTGAGCCATGTTCCTATGAGTTCCTTTGCTGGTTGCCCAGTTTCCCTTCAGGAGGATATTCTAGCACATGGAATAGAAAAGCAAGCAAGGATCAACATTACTTACTCCATGTTTCCCAGGGGTTTGGGGAGGGGCAGGTAGATTAGATTCAGCCTTCATTCGGACCTCTCTTCTTCCCTACCACACAGCCTGGTATGCCCCTCTTCCACTCTCCTTGTCTGAATCTACTTCTTTCCTCTTCTCATAGACTGGAAAGGGAGTGTTTGGCTTGTAATATTTACCGAATGTGCTAAACTGCATTTTTATTACTTAATCAAAATGGTCTTCCTTTCTGATTGCTTGGCTGGTTGCTTTCGATATGATTGTTGTGTGTGAAATGCCTTTTGTCTCAGGAAGATCATGATTATGAGGAACATGTAATGTTTATTGCTTAGTAGTTGATAAAGGTGACAAATTAGCACAAACTCAAATGGGCAAGCTCAGAGTAAACAGTGGTTTTGCCACATAATAAGAGATTGACTTTAATACCATTTGCAGTTTAAGAGGAAACACACATATATCACGTTTGCAATTTATGAACAAACACACCAGGCTCGCCT